CATAAAAATACAGCGCAATACAAAGCGTACCTAAAGATAAAGCTAATTCAGATATCTCAGTTCAGGCGGAACTAAACAACTCGCAAAAACAATAACTAAGCAACTGAACTGAGACGCTCTCTCTCTGGTTTTTTATAGTTTTCAACAGGTCGCGAGAAATTTCTAGTACTTTCTGCTTCTCGAGATCTCTGGAAAACAATAAGGGGATGGGATTACGGTTTACAGCCAACATAGTACTCAATTATATTTATTCAATTTCAATACAAATTACCGAGATATTCATTTATTCAAAGTTAAACACACGTACCCCTACAAAGCGCTAAAGAAACTCTTGGCTTGAAAACACGCCCGGCTGCCGTAGCTCTTTGGGATTTAATTACACGTTCGGAGAAGATTAGCATTAGTGAAGAGGATGTGCAAGGCTGGTTATCGGAAAGAAAAAGATGATGGTGAGGGGGAAGGGAAGGATGGAGATTAAGATGACCACGGGGTACAGCAAGAAAGTTGCATGGAAGAGAACTGACTAAGGGCTTAGCTTAATTTTTTTCATCATAAGGTTTGCCGAGAGATGCTCATCTATATCAGCACATGATATGATTTTTAAAACTACGGTGACAATGTTGTAAGTTGGCGAACATTCGAAGTTATATGCTATCGCACTAAGAAATTTGTTAGTTTCATGTCATAATACATATGGCAATTTTAAAATGTTGTTTAAATTTGCCATTCTGAAATATAAAATTATGTGTATGCATTTTAGTGTTAAATAATGAATTATATTTTTGTCTCACGTCATTCTCACTTGCCTCTGCTATAGATGGATTCGATGTTGACGGATCCATACAGATCCGGACTTGCTGTAGCTCATCACAATTATTTATCGACTCTAATTAAATTTGATTAACTTGCTTATACGGTTCTGAGGTATGCTTGAGATATTGTTAAACGAAATTAATTGTTTAGTAAGTAAGTAAGCTTTGAGGTATGTTTGAAACGGATGAAAAGACTGTTCAAAAACGCATTCTTACACAATGAAAGGCTTCAAATTCATTCCATTTTATGAAGTTTGTTTCTCAGGAAAAAGCATGTTTAAATAAAACTTTGTATCCTATATTCGGCAGAAAATAGAAAATCTGCATAACCACGTTAAACAATAATATTAATGCGATTTGTGTCCTTTATTCACATTAATATAAATTAAGATTAACAAAAGTGTAATAAAAGTAAGCTAACTAAAATTGTTATTAATAATAAAACAATATGGGAAATCAAAACTCTTTGCCATCGAAAATTATTCTCTTTACCTATATTAGGAAAACATATTTTTCGAAATTATGCATTTTCTTCTTTTTTGACGTGCGAAAAGTCTAAATACGCACTGCTGGCCATTAAAATTTTAACACTAGGAAAGGATGATCTGACGAACGTCAAAATCACATGAAAGGAAGAAGAGGTTGTTAGACCACGCAAAAGAAGGGAGAAACGATATCTGAAACACTGCAAAAAAGAAAAGTTATGTAGTAGATTTCTCATTCGGAAAGCGTTCTGTAAGGTAGGAGTTTGGTCAGAATATCGTGCAATGCCTCGAATAACAAAAAGAAATGCTTACCAGCAAGTGTCGGAATTCGACAGAGGCTGGATCGTTGCCTACCGAAAGTATGGATTATCGTTCTGTGATATCGCCCATCGCACTAGTTGACATATAACCCCTGGAATGCGATTATGGAATCAATGGGTTGCTGGGGGTCATACTGAACAGCATGCAGGATTTCAACAATATGGGAAATTAAAACTCTTTGCCATCGAAAATTATTCTCTTTACCTATATTAGGAAAACATATTTTTCGAAACACCTCGATACACACGGTTTTCGATTGCTGCCCTGGCCTGCACGGCCTCCAGGTCTGTCATCCATTGAAAACATCTGGTCATGGGTTGCTGAGAGACTGGCTCGCCATCTTTTTCCAATTAATACGGTTGACGAAGTGTGGCATAGACTTGAAGCAGCATCGAATCAATTGCTCTATTTTATCAAAGCCCAGTTCAACTCCGTTTTCGCTACCACGGGTGGCAGCTGTTCCTATTAATTTTGCATCCCTGTAAACCCCAAAATTTACTTATAAATTTAATCATTTTGCATTCATGCTACACTGTTTATGTACAATAATTATATTTTTTATATTTGCTTTCCTTCATGTTGCTGCAATTTACTGGTCAGCATGTAAGGATCCCAAGTTTTACTAACGTTTATTTTGTTTTAAATCTTTACTATCACTTCTTATTTTCTACTTCCGACCAGAATTAAAAGCTTTAACTTATTTATGCAAATTTGTCTTGCTAACGCCAAGTACTTAAGTTGTGGCTTTTTGCCAAGCAAGAGAGAGGAAGGAGTTATTAGAAGCAGGCCATAGTAGTTTTGCTCGGTTGCTGGTTGCCTTCAAGACCAGAGGTTTAGTCCTCTTGATAAGTTCAAACGTATCGTAGTTTTAGCAGCTCTCTGTACTACATACGGATTTTGTTAAATAACGGCCAATCTTGAAGTTAGGCACTTGTATATTAATCCAAAGTTAGTTTCAGTTAGAGTTTTTAGTTAGTATTTTTATATTCTTACGTTCAGACCACAAGTGGTTGGTGTCTGTATTCTGAAGTTCCGGAAATCGCTGTAAAGATAGAAAAATAAAGGGTTTTGTATACCCTTCCTGTGTGTATTGTCTACTTCACAATTTATTGAACATAGCTTGAGTAAGCTCCCTGTTCCGAGTCAGGACAGTTCATGTTTCCAAAGCAAGTAAAGAGGAACAAAAGTCCTGATAAGCACTGTATTTGAAAATCATGTAGCTTCATTTTACGTTCTTTGATGTGGTACGAATTGGTTGAAAATTGCATGTTTTATCATAAAACAGCTGAAAATGTTATTTCTATGAATCCCAGTTGTTCTTAATAAAAAAAAAGCTAATAAAGCGATATAGCAGATGGTTCTGAAATATTCAACAAGCTCGTCATTTAGTAGTCATTTCAGCTTTTTGAAGTTTCATATATACAGTGATTTTGTAATTATGCTTTGTATTGCGTGTTAAAAATCTGCTAAAACATAACTTAAAAATAAGGAAACTTATTTATTGATCCTTTTGTAAAAATGAGAAATGTTTATGACTTCATATTACCCAAACAATTCTGGAAAACTAAATTTTTTATTGTATATTTTGAACTAGAATATAACTACATTAAAATAAATATTACATTTCCCGCACAATGATGATTTTCTTGTTTTTCCTTATAAGTAACACGTATGAATGGATTTTGATCATTTAGATAACATAAATTCAGTTTATATGTATTTTAAATAAATTATAGTTATTTGTTATTGTTTAGCTTAAACGATACGAAATCAAAATTTATGGACTATTTCAAAGACAGATCACTGCTCCCACAATTACACTCGTGTGCAAAATTAAGAGAATTTGTAAATCATATCTATTTTTACGAAAAGTTCTGAACCGAATGCATTATTCAGATATTGAATCGAATACGTAAGCTTACACGTTTGTGCCTGAAGAGCTATAATTGTGGAGAGGACATAAGCTAAAGGGGGATTTTCGGGGGTTTGTTTGTTCGTATCCCTTTACGACATTCGCCATGTTTCTCGCAAGGGTTTGGTAAATTTTATAAGGTATCAGGTAAAATGAGTAGCCATGAACGTATAGACGATGGAATGAGATGCAGATTTGTCGGTAGACTGGAGGCAGGCCGATCACAAGTGCAGGCGGTCCTAGAATTCAGTGCGACGCCCAGTATCGTCTGCAATTTATGGTAACAGTTTCAGGACACTGAACCCATATCAAGAAGACCCGGGCAAGGTCGATTAAGATCCACAACGACGATTGAAGACCGTTATTTGGAACTTCCCGCGCGACGACACAGGACTGCTACAGCTTCAGAGCTCTTAGAAGAGCTGTGTGCTGCTACTGGAACTCGACTGTTATAATCTAAAGTTGTCCAAAGGCTTCATCAGGTAGGGCTGCATGACAGAATATGTTTGCGTCCCGCCCATTGCAGCACACAAGAAAGCGTGGTGCAGACAACATGCGCCTTGGACCAGACTTTATTGGAGCACCGTACTTTTATACTTTAGTCGAGATTCAGCTCGGACGCTGATTCTCGGTGTACCTGTATCTCAAAAGAACCTTTAGCAAGATACCATCCTACCGTCATCAAGGGAAAGGATCTACGGTGGTGGATGTGTAATGGTTTGGGCAGGCATTGGACAGCCACACACATCTGCCTATGTTTGACAAAGGCTTCCTGACTGCTATGAGGTATAGAGAGGGAAATTTAGATCCCTGTGTTCGACTTCTCAGCGGCAACGTTTTCCTGGGTTCCTGTTAATGGACGACAAAGATTGTCCACATAGGGCTCAGCTGGTTGATGGTCACCTGAAAGTGAGGATATTCTCCGTATGGATTGACCAGCCAGATTTCCTGACCTTAACCCTACAGAGCGTATCTGGGACTTTCTTGGGAGGACATTTTCATCTCGCTATCCCCTCCAAGAATTGTCCCTGACTTGAAAACTGCCTAGCTGTAGGAGAGGGGTCAACTGCACATGGACTGTATCCTGTTCATAATGTTGTCATTCTGCGCGTCTTGCCGGACTGTAAGAGGGGACTATAATCCATATTAGACTTATTTTCAGTTCGATATCACAACGATGATTTTGGAAATCTCTGCACTATGAGCTTTATTGATAATCATGAAAGCATAAGATGGCTTTTGAATAGTACATGTAATTCTCAGTTATAAATGCGTGTTTGTACTAAATTTAATTAAAATCTGTCCATTAGGTTTTCAAAAATTCGATATAGTGTACAAATTCTCTTAATTTTGCACAAAAGTTTATATTCGGAACGCCATAAGTTATGTATTCGACCAGTTTTTATACATATTTTGCATGCAGTTTTCTTGCAAATGTGAATATTTTAAATTAAAAAAAAGAAAGAAGCATTTACATTAAATACTTTATTTAAACTTTATTATTTATATTTACATACTTTTTAAAGATAACATTCCGTAATTAACGAATAAGTGCATCACTATATAAACGAAAATTCAACCATCTTTCAAGTAAAGTGTTGAAAATGTCATATATCCATTACAAAAAGTTTCCAGTGAACATATTTATACAGCTTTATTTTTCTTTTCAATGACAGACAGTCTTAAAATAAGAGAGAGATGAACGCATGTCTTTCTTTGCAAATAAATAGCTTAATAATATTTACTTTTATTTTCTGCAAATCTTCCTCTATATCACTACATAAATCTCCAATTACAACCGCATTCCTAGGCATCCAGTAACCCTCTTTCCAGAAATGTTACAGATGGGGAGAAGAACACTGTAACTTAGTCATTGCTAACAAAGTTAAAACGTGCGGCAGAAGTGCCACATTTATGATTAAGTAATATATTTCACAATTGTGAATACTTCTACTATTCATAATAAGATAAACTCTGGTTTATATAAGCAAATAAAATGGCATATTTGCTATTGAAGTCAATAAAATAAAACAATTGGACATTGACAACTTCATCAAGAAAATCTCGTGAAATAACTTTTACGTTGTTAAACTTCAGCTGAAATTTTATTCATAAAGCTTCGATTATTCCAGAGACTGAACATATTCTTCATAAGCAAATATCTATTAACTTCATTAAATCTTACTTAAGATTCAAATTTTAAGGAAGTACTAAATGTTGAGACTTTTAATTACCACCTCTTTTAATCTGATGACTGGTAGATGCATTGCTATATTCTACTTATTAGCATGGGACATATGAATACTAATAAATACATGTATATGCATGTAACACCATAGATACTGTAAGTATCATAATCCAATTTATTTTCCATAGGACTAAGATACGTTATTTAGATTTTGATAAACCAAATTCTAGACGACGAATGAGTTTCCTAGCTTGACTGGAGGATATTTTGTATTTAACGACAAGAAAAGCATACCATAGATATAACATGAAACAGGCGAGAATATGTCAATGGAAAGGGACAACAAAATAAAACAGAAAACAAGGGAGATAAGAAAATTCTGTTCAAACAAGTAATTAAGTTTAAAAAACAAGTAATTAAGTTTAAATTAAAAATTTAGTAGACTCCTTTTAGGTACTATTATAGAAGATATATATATATCATAAGGTATTGAATTTTTTTTCTAAAATGATTACTTCTTGACTATACGATACATATGATACAAAACTGTTTTGAATTAAATTTTCTTTTTAAATGTAAAGAAAAACGTTTTTTTTTTGTAATTATTTTCTTTCTTTAGTTTAGTCATCAGAACAATCATTTTCTTATTTTTCTAGTCTTGATAAATTATTGATGATACTTTATATAGTGTTTTATTTGAAGATTTTCAGCAAAATTACAAATTACAGAAATTAACTGTTCAGAGCATATGATTATCCCAAGCTTTGAGCACAACCTACCCATAAACATAAAGTTCAGCATTATATAGCTAAGTATTAGGAATAAAATTAAGAAAATATTCTCCGTCCCCCCAAATAAATCTTTGAAATTTTTAAAATTCACTTAACATTTTGAAAAAGAATTCACAGAGGAAAATCTGCAAAACACTCAGACTTTAAAGAGTTAAATTGTTCCAGAGAAAGTGAGAAAGTAAGGTTTTGTAACACAGTTTTCAGACTGAGAGATTCAGAATTTATGCATTTATTTTCCTCCTTGCAAATTTCAAATTTAGCAATTTTGCGCCTAGGAATATGATTCATTTGAATGATATTTTAAAAAGTACATCAGTACAAAATATAAGGAAAAGTTAATTTTCCATGGCCTTCGGAAATATACTTTCTTCGGCTTCACGTTTGCTAATCTTTGATTGAAGACTACTGTCACTGTTTCGCTCCATAACTCCAAAGATGGTTATCATGGCAGATTGAATCTAAAAGTAAATAAAAGTGTATAAGTATTACAGCTTTAATATGCTCTACATTTTCATAAAACATGTCGATTTCATTTGACTGAACAGATGAAATACTAGCTTTCGTAAAGCTGGTGTTCATTTTGGAAAATTTATACATTATAAATAAAATATAGACATTTTTCAGCATGCATAATTGCGTGATTTACATTTAAATGCTTTTCTCTTTTGTTTTCTTAAAAAGGCACTCACGGCCACGACCACAGAAAAGCATGCCTCAATACCACAAACTTTGAAAGGCTAGTAGAAGACACGGTTGTGTTTCACGAGCCATAGTCTTTATCACTTTCCTTTTTAACCCATTATGAATTAATAATAAAAAGAGTAGTTTTCAAAACCATTTCATTAAAGCTCACAAGAACGCAATCATCCCTCATCTCACTAAATGAATTAGTAAGAGCGCATCCTTGAATCCCTTCAGATCAGTGTTGCCAGATCGTGAGATATTTCGTAAATTTATTACGTTTGCCAAATTTGAGCTACTAAAATTTATGTCTATGCGATTTTGCGAATTTTCCGCTAATGCATCATTTTCTTATATTACTTTTCGCTGCTTTTAAAATTTTTAATATGCAGAAAAATGTATATATGTTAATATAATAAAAACTAAAAATATATTTAAGCTTAAACAAAAGTTGGCAACTGGCAGTTCTGCTATTGTAATCCGTAAGCGCATGTGCATTCAGTTTTTAAAACTGGTTTCTGGTGCATAAGGAAAGCACACTTGCGTATTAAAGAGGTCTGGGGGGTTCTAATCCCGGAGAGGACATTGCTATTTTCCTATGTCTTCAGCATGCCCCCCTAAAAAAACCCAATGCCTCTACAAGCGTTTTCACGTGCTTAATCGATTGCTTGTTTAATATTTAATTATCTGTGGGTTCAAAGTTTCTGATGTGTTAACTAAAGCGAGAATAATGAGTAACGTGAAAAAAAACTGAGCACCACCTTTAAAAATGCTTGGCAAAAAATAGCTTAAGAATTCGCTAGAAAAAATGAAAGCCAATCAGATAAAAGCTTATTATAAGACATGTAAATGTGAAGTGAGGGCATATAAAATTGATTTAATGAAGTACAGTGCCACTTTGATGTATATGAGTATAAACGAAATTTTATATTTATAAGTGGATGGCTGTCTTACACAATTGTTCATTTCTCTGTGTTTGTTCTGTAATATACCTTATTTCAAACACTAATTGATTAATTCTTGAATAAAAAATTTAGAATACTTAATATATACAGTCTAAACAAAACAGAGACAAAATTTTAGACGCGGAGACATAAATAGCTGCTCATAATTGAAATAACTACCTGATTATAAAATGAAGATACTGTCTCACTCAATAAAAATAAATTGCCAACTCAAAAGAGTTTGGAAAATAATGCTAACGATTCAAATGCGAGAAAGCACCCAACAATGGATGTGAACAAATTAACTGAAATATAAAAACCTAAATTAACTGAGAATTAATTAAAATATGAAATGCAGATTCAGACAATGGGAAATGAACAATCTGGTTTTAAGAGTTTCCTCAAAACTAATATCCGTAACAAAACGACCAAGAATCGAATTACAGTCCGCAACCCACTGAACCCACGGAGACTGAATTTTTTATGACGTCAGGGGTCATGTAAACCGTGTACTTATGATATAAAAATAACGTGATCTCTTACATTACGTGCTACATTTTGCTACATTTTCATACTTCTCTTGCTACGTTAGCTCAAAAGCTTCTGGAAACAAGACTTCAGATGTGAGTTTTCCTTTCCCCCTTACGGAATAGGCCTAAACGTTTTGGCAGAATGCCAGAAACTATCCAGCATACCATGTTTTCCTTTAATATCTCTCTTTTAGGAACTTATGGTATTCCTCAGATGAGCATTCAGTTCTTTCGTTTTTCAATTCTCTCTGCAAGAAACAATAATACGTAAAACAGATGGTATGTGGAGACAGATAAAGAATTTCTTTACTGCATTCTGAAATACTAGGAAACATGGTAGTTTTACCTCAGTGAAAATTCAGTACAGTAATTTCTTATCAAATTAATTTTAATTGTTATTTAATTATAGATTAAATTATTATTAAATGTTAATTTAAAATTATTTATTATTAATTTAAATTATTATTTAAAATGTTCACAAACGTCTGTCTTCTTCAGGAACAAAAATGGTATTCTCCTGAAAAGAAAGAACCTGTATCTGGTAGCCTTCGAACTCAATAAAATTTTATTTAAAATCTACGCCAAACTAAGATTTCTTTTTTGACTAATTTTGAATATTTCCAATAAATAGAATTAAAATTCGTTAGCATTCTAAATAATGATTTAAATTTAAAATTCAGTAAAAGAGCATTTTCAGTCAGGAAAGGAGAGAAGTCATTAAACGGAGCTATCTGTAGCCATGTGAATGTATAGTTTATTATTTTTCTTTAAGTGTCTAAATAAAATTCTTATTTCTAACTTGGCAGCCAAGATTACAATATGGTAGTATATCTAATGAAATATAACAAACTGTACCAAAGAACCGGTGACTCAGCCGCACCCATTTAATCTTCTTCTCAGCAGGCAGAACGGGGTGTACCCAGTTGTCATCACCCATTCGGCACCACACAGTGCTGTGATTAGATTATTTATATGCCTTTAACGTTTACTTTTGCATCCAAAGCTAATTTCATCGCTAAAAATGTTGTCCTTAAATATTACATTAGTTTTTCAGTAACTATTTTAATGGCCTCAGAATAGCGAAATGCATAAAATAGTTCTCTACTAGTTTGAGGGAAGGCACATAATTCCTTATTACTATATACTCTCAATGATTAAAAGCTGAAACAGGCTGAAAGGATTTTTATATTAAAAGTATAATTTGAAAGAATTCTACCTTACTGGCTAGCAGTTACCCGTTTCTAAAAAGAAATTTAAAAACGTAAGATTTAAGTGTATAATTTTTTATTCAGTAGAAACAATTGGGTTTCTCCCTATTGGCCACTCTGTTAGACAGATTTAGAATTAAAAAAGCTTCTGCTTGTTGTTATGTATGCGAAAATGTTATTATGAAAATAATCTGTAAAGTTAAAAGAATCTTACAAATATTAATTGTTATCAGAATCAAATAATAATAAAATTGTAAATTTTGCTTATTTTAAGGCTATCAATCAAAAATCTGTAAAAGCGTAGGCCATCATAAAATGACTAATTAGTTGTCGAATATACTGCGGCCTATCAGAAATCAAGCATTTTCTTTTATGTGTAAGAGACATTACTACATGTGTATACTAAAGAAAGAAATTTTGCAGTATTGAAATTATCCATTTTTTAAAACGTAAAAGATGGATCTTTACAGTATTGTAAAATAATCTGTACTCAAGTTTTAGTACTCAAGAACGTAAAACATGGATCTTTAGAGTATTGTAAAATTATCTGTTTCTTGTTCTGTATTGTAAAAAATCCGTTTCCTTCCGACGGTAAGTGTCGAGTCAAAATGTGCCCAAATTCCTTAATATTTCACTTCCACTCACTTGAATCTAGGATCTAATTACGAGCAAATGTTAAGTGCAGTTCCATCTGTCTCAGACTTATTAGCACTTAAAATGTGTGGCTCATCTACAGGAAACCTCTGGCCCAATTAATCATTGGATAACACTTATCATTTATTTTATTCAAATAAATCATTAAAATTAATATAAAACCTATTTTTCTGATTTTAGTAGAGAATAGTTATTTTTTCGATTCTACTAATAGTTTACGATCTCTAAGTACTGAACAGCTTTTAAAAAGCATTCTCAGTATCTTTTTTTTTTCCTGCGCTGCTAACCTTCTTTATTTATATTCTTTATTAGTACTCAAGAGAAGATTAGCAGTCGCTCGCTAACACTTAGCAGATAACTCAATTAACTTAAAGCATGACCGTTAGCTTTAAAATAGCTAAAAATGAACCAAAATATTGAATTTAGATTTTTACTCTCGTAATAATCTATATATTTAACTGCATCGTATACAAAAAACCGAGTTCAAATATTTTAATTTTTTAAGATGTTATAAGCATTTAAAATGTGTAAACAACGTAAACGTTGTCTAAAATGTAAAAAAATGCATTTCAACTGTTATTGACTGATGTTTATGTGTTATAAATTCGCCCAGAAATGTGTTTATTTCTGAAAAAAAGGCTAGACATGTCACTATTGTTAACTATTAATGAATTTAACTGTGTTTGTGTACATGGTATATTTGTAGAACAGGAGGAAACAAAACCGATTTCCCTACTGGTTGCAAAAAAAGGCGCGATCAGCGTCTTTTGAATCAAAGCAAAGCAAAATAAAAGTTTACCTGCTTGGGGAAAAAAAAAAAAAAAAAAAAAAAAAAAAAAACAGAAACAGTAAAAATTTTGTAAAGCATTACGCGATAATATCAATGTATCAATGTAAAAAATGCAGGTAAAACATATGGTGCGGCTGAATTTTAAAAGTTACATTGGATATAATGCATAAATTGTTTCTACCTATAACTTCGAATCACATAGCAATATGCGATATGTTTATTTTTGTTATATTTAATATTATGAGATTAAAAACAGTTAAACGATTAGAAAATGTTATCTAACTTTTACTAATTCATATTTAAAGTTAATTTGCTGTTACTCATGACCATGTATTAAAGGTAAGTTTGAGAAAAAACTTTAAATTCGGTTTTCTCAAAACAAATGTTTTCGCAGTTCTTAAATGTCTTGAAAATGCTCCATGCGTCTCATTTTTAGTTAAAAATGAACGATATTTAGAAGAAACTATCTTGTTATATATTGCAGTAGATCCGTGTATGTATTTGGATAGATTATTAAACTTGCGATATTTTCATCTTTTTTCCGAAAAACTTTGTTCACAAAAATCATTTAAAAAATTTTTAATCATCATATTCAAGGACTCAAAAAGTTTTAAACTTTATAAATCTTGTAAGGATCTTAAGTTTTACTAA